CCCCCCCACACACACACACATACTACATATTATTGTATTCTCCTCGTACAATATTCTTCCCGCAGTGTTTCCCCGAGCCCCGCCCACTTCTAGCGGCTTAAACGACTCTCTGATCACCGGCAATTAGTCACACTACTGATTACTACACTACGGAGCAGAGCCACACAGAGGTGGGAAAGGGACAGACGACGAGAAGAAAAAAATGGTGAAATGGTATAGGTTTTAGGTTTAGTACGAGTTTTACGGCACTTGCAACAAAATAAGGTCCTATAAGTGCCGCAGATTACAGGTGTTGCAAGAGGGCAACAAACACAAAATAGAAGAAGGGAAGATTGGGATGATAGATGTTTGATAGGAAAGAAGAAGCAAACCACACCAGAGCACCCGCCAACCACCCACTGGTAAAGGTGTAAAGGCATTGCATAGCCCAAATTTCGGCTCAAAAGTAAGCTCTATGCGATTTACAATATTATATTACTATAATCTCAGCAGACCTGATAGCATTCTGAACCAATCGTAACTTTCTGGGAAGTACACAGAGAAAGCTGTCATTTCACAGGCGCTAAAACACTAACATACTGACTATTTTTCTCAGTATATGGCCGGGTACCGATTCTTAGGTGGATGAATAGAGGAAAAATTCATGTAAAGTGTCTTTTCCAAGGGTACAATGTCAGGCCTGAGGCTCGAACCCCCAACCCACAAACTCATGATTACACTTCTATTTGCCTACCCACTAGACTACAGACGTTTCATGTTTTTAAATCCATTCTAAAAGAGCTTGAAATAGAAAGACGTTGTAGGAATAATATAACTTAACCGGGTTATTTTCTTTTACCCCTTTTCGCTTTATGAAATGTCCATTACAAAAAAAAAACACTGTAACTAGACGAAATATTGATGGAATTAAAGTAAAATTAGGCTGTTTTCCCCTTTAAGCCTTCATGTTGTTGTTTTGTTGATCCATCTCGAAAAAAAACGCTTGACATAGACAAAGTTCTGGTAGGATTGCTATGATTTAGCCTGTAGTTTTATCCCATCACCCCTTCATGCTCTATCAAAACACGACATCTATAGTAATAAGATAAAACCTAAGCCACGTTCTGTTATATTCTGTACTTTACCTTATTCTGTGGCGCTCTATCAGCGGCCGTGCGATAAAGTTGGTGGGGACATAAGCTGGGTGCTCACTTATTCGACTAGTCGGTTCTGCTTGACGGGGTTGAATCGGGAGGTCGGACGGGCCTGCGGTATACACTTCCCACACCGGCGCTGTGGTGATGCGGTTAGGAGCTTCCCTTTTGCGCGAAAGGGACCCAAGTTCGATTCCCGGATGGTGAAAAATGTTTTAGTTTTAGTAAAAGTTTTACGGCACTTGCAACATAATAAGGCCATATAAGTGCCGAAGATTACAGGTGTTACAAGAGAGTAACAAACACAAAATACAAGGAGGGGAGAAAAGGGCGACAGATGTTTGACAGGAAAGAAGGAGCAAACCACACCAGAGGAACCCGCAAACCACCCATGAGAAATGTTTATCGAGCATCTCGGTTCTTCTTCACGAGCCTGAGTCAGAAGCCCGCCTCCTGAACTATCTAAATATCAATAAATGAGGGGCGGGGCTGGGCGTAAAAACCCGACTTCCAAAAGAGAAAATGAAATCGGTGAGAGTAACCCCCCTCCCCCCAACACACACACACACACACACACACACACACACACACACACACACACACACATCCTTTAACATAAAAAAAATCCCCAAGCAGCTGGTTTAGTTTAAAATTTAGCAAAAGTTTTACGGCACTTACAACACAAATTGTGCAACACAAAGATTAGAGGCGTTACTATCAAATAGTTAGATATATATTTTTTTTAAGGAGGAGAGATAAGGACGCTAGACGTCGGATAGGAAAGAAACCCCACCAGAGCATTCGCCAACCACCCACATAAAAGGGTCCCCTGAGTAGCTGATCCACAAGTATTGGTGGAAGAACGGTAGACTTACGCGCATCTAACTTCTTTTAAAATATAGATATTATGCTTTACACCCCCATCAACATACTTTAGATCATTTAGGAGGACGGCATCCGACCCTACACGTCTGTCAGGGCCAACCCTGGTTGAGAGGGGTAGAAAATCCCAGGAGAAAGAACGAGATACTCCATGAAACGTCTCCTCACAAATGATCGAACTCGGGTCTTTTGCTTAAAGACAGCAAAGCGCCTAACCGCTACATCACAGAAACCGATTGGCACTTCTAAAGCAAAAGACCTGCACAGTTGAACTTAATAAATACGATTTACATAACACTAAATTAAGCTGATAAAATGCAGTTATGGAAAGGCCGACATTTCACTGTCCCAGAATTACAAAGCACTATCTGCTCAGTTCCTCGTTTTGAGAAATTTGATGATAAAAATTTTGAGTTTCACAACATATCAGACTTTTCCCAATGCAATTCTTTGAAAATCTTGAAAACCACTCCGAATTATCTTATGATTTTGATAGAGCAGATAGAACATTTGGTTTCGATCTGATAGTCTGAGTAAATCAAAACGGCCAAAAATGTCAAATAGAATGGAACTTCGTAATTCTAAGGTAGTGTTTTTTAAATTGAAGTCCTTCACAAAAAGGGAGAATATTATCCATTGTTTTTTGTTTTGTGGTTTGTTGTCATTTGTTTGTTTGTTTGTTTGTTTTTGTCTTTTCGGGGGGAGTTGGCTGGAAAGTTCCAAGTCCATTATTATGATCCAACTTAACCAAAATAGGCCTATCGCCCTGCACGTCTTGAAGTAGGACTTGCAAGACACACCCTCCAACAACCCACCGTCCAGCTAAAACCTTGACGTGTTTCACGAGGACACCCCTCATATCCCCTCCCCCTCGCGAAAACTCACACACATGCACACACACACACACGAACACACACGTACATACACAAACACACACACACACACA